AATAACAATGATAATGTCTACTATTCAGTACACTAAATTCCCTTACTGACCAGGGTGAATTTTTTCACATCTTGTTTCAGTCTTTGTTCCCCCCACAACAGTGCCTGAGACAAACAGTCTGAGCACAAGTGCAAGTTTTCTATCATGATCTTAGGAAACTACAATTACAAGGGAGACTGGAAGTCAAACAGGAAAGAAGGTAAAGCCCATCCATGGGTAGCTGCCATGACCCATTTCTCTGGATATCTCCAAGAAGCCTTTAAATGGTCTCACTGTATTTACTGGTGTGTGCATGCACTACATCAGCTAATGGGGTCCATGGGCCTCCCACATGAAGCTGAATCAAGATCCCTATCAGGATACACTTCTTTGAGTCAATGTGAGCTAAACAGTGAGACGTGGCATAGCAGACACCTGACACACATTCTTAGAAAACAAGAACTGTTAGTATAGCCATTTTAACTATGGCTAAATGAAAGAATGGATAAACATAATAATTTATCAAAGGTCAAATGTTTATAGGTGGTAAACTTGATTCCAAGACCAATATACTTAATAAGTTAACTTCTTATCCGTTTTTTCCCAGAACTATTTTTTCACATACAAAATGAATTTCAAATCAATGTCTCCATGAAGATATTTATTATCTATGGGAGTAAAGTACAGACAATGCTCATAAAGCTAAAATGGTCCTTGACTACCACTCTCATATGCTCCAAAATTTTTTCCAAATATTTTCCTGTATCGGTTACATATGTGTATATATGTAACAGAAGATAATTTATATGCAGACATCCATTAAATGCATGCATTCTCTCATTATTCCTAATTTTTGTAGGATATACCATCATATTGCATTATATTTTGATTACTCCCATTCATGCATATAGACATTTTCAATTTTACTATATTAAAAATTGCTGTATATAATTATAAATTCTTCTTTGTATTTATGTATACTATATATTTTTTCAAAACCACATCAACAAGTAAAAGAGCTTTGTTCAAGGATACATTCCTCAGTTAAATGGAACATAAAAACCAAATTACTCTTTAGCCTATAACTAATTTCCTAAATCTCTAAATGATATATATTGTGGAAATGATATCACATATCATGTCTTTGCTAACTTAAAAATCATTTTAGGGGCTTTAACTTTATGCAGAGTTATAAATCTCTGAATAAAGCTAACATTTCTTCTGTGTAATACTAAATTTGATTAATTGTGTATTTACTACTATGCTAATCCACCTTGAAGGGATAAGGAAAAATAGAAAGTCAGTCTAAATAACAGTATTTCAGCTAATGAATTTCCATGTCACTTCACTATTACCCAGGCAGACTCTATAGTCAGTTTTAAGTAGCCAAGCTGCATTTGTGCTCGAAGACTAATATTAACAGAAGATGGACTGTAAACTTAAAAGTTATTGGTTTCCTCCAGATAACAGACTGCAGTAGAGCAGAAATTGCACGTGAAAGTATTTTCTAATTATATGTGAAAAGTGAAATATTAATGATTACAAGCATAATTTTCTCAATGAAGTGAGTTCAAGCTTATCTGTGTCTGTCAAACAACAATTTAATCACACAGTTCTAATATTTTCTATCCTATACATCAAGAGAAATTAATAATCTTTAATTGGGATTTATTTTCCCACCTTTTAGTTGAATTAATCATCATAACACATATGTTAAGAGACTATTAGGAGTGAACTTAAAACCAAGAAAAAGTTTAATAATTTATCAAGTTTGTTTTCCCATTAAAAGCATCCATAAATGCATTATTATAATTACATTTTACCTTTTTATAAAGACTTCTATAAATAAAGGATGTACATTCTTAGGAATGAAGGTTTTTACTTAGTTTATTTTATAGGAACAGTCTGTTTATCCACAATAGAATTCATTTTTTGAAGTCTGTGATAAACATATTTCTTTCATTATTTGGACACTGTGAAGTGTAAGGACTAACATGTGTCCTGCTTTCAGCATCTGCAGAAAATATTACCATGTGCCTACTGTATATGAGTATCACAATCAGTTTTAATTTCTACTTCTGTTGTTCTCTTATGTCCTTTGCAAAGTCTTACTATAACTACCATTTTAAATTCTGATTATCTTTGAAGAATTATCAATAATTTTTGGAATACAGCTAATACTGTATAGTGTTGTAGATTGTATTATTGACCTTAATTTTTCATTCTTTTCTGCATCTACGTCTTTTGTCAAGTGAGTTTGGATTTCCTCCCCAAGATTTTGGGTTCAACCATGTGTCTTGCTTTGGTCAACTGATTGAAGCAAATACAAATTGTGCCAGTTCAGAACCTAGGCACTAAGAAGTCTTATCAATTTCAACATTCATTCTTGTGCTGCCATTGCTTTGGGAAGAATATTCATGGGTAATCTCCTGGTCCAAGGTGAATGGAAAACACAAACGACAAACCGAAGAACTGGTGCAGAAAACAAAGCCTTTCTGGCTCTTGTAGCCTAGATTAACTGAGCCAGAGATGTGCGAGATAGTCCAGCTGAGATCAGCAAAGACATACCAGTGCACCTCACTTGTTATCAACAATGTGAGTGAAGTAAATAAACTGTTCAATGTTGTTGTGGTTTTTGTGACTTGATTACACAGCATTACTATTGTGATAGCTAAACAACAAATATAGTGTGTGTGGGCATGTGTGTGTTTGTGTTACCCTAAGTTGGCTTGCTATTTTAAATTTTGTTGTCTTTTTATGTGTCACCCATCACCAGCTAAAATAGAGATGAAATATGAATGAATATTAATCTGCTAATTAATGAATTTTACTTGTTACTGATGAGAAATCCATGACCTTGAATCAAGCTTTAACTCCAGAGTCTATCGCACACATAATATTATGACCTTGAATAATCCTTTATAAACCTGTCCTTCAATTTTATCATCAATAGGTAGCTCATGCTTGAGTATCTGACTTCAAGCCCAGACTCAGGATCCTCAACAAAGCCATAAGGTATGATCAATTAATGATATCTCCTATTACCACAAGGCTGAAAGAAAGAAATAAAATATTTGCCAGGTACTTGCATTCCCTCCTCTGAATCTAACATTAAAAATCACCTATTTACTTATTCATGTTTATGACTAACTCCCACACCCCATATTACTTAAATATAGACTTCTACATTACTCAATATTTTTAAAAAGCAAAAAATGTAAAAAGTGAGAGTATCTTCTAATATTTTAATTAAAATTCCAAGTATCTCATCATCTTTTTATTCTTTAACTCTCATTAAAGAATATATAAATCTTACTTCAAATGTAACTCTTGGTTTGAGTTTCTAGGGATAGAAGATGTATAAAAATTCCATATGAGCTTATGTTTATTATTTCTCCATGAGGAAAAAAAATAGGTCCTCATTTTTTAAAGGTAGGGAATAAGAGAGCCCCTTATAGTGACTCAAACTCTGAAATAATTAAAAAGTAAAATAAATTGTTATAGATTTTGAAATAAAGAAGAGTAAAAAAATTAACTAGCAGTATTATGATACCTCATCCAGTCAGTATATGGTCTTTGAAGTTTGTTAATTGAAAAATTGGGTATATCTCCATTTGCTCTAATGCTTATTTAATGTGATAAATACATTTATTATCAATGAGATGTGGATACAACCCCCAGCAGAAGTTAAGCAATATAACAGCCAACTTGTTGGTAGCTTCATTGATTTCAAGATACAGAAAGACAATTCAAACAAAGCGGACATGGAATTACATGTGATACCTGTTTCAGGGAGGTAATGGTACATCAAACAAGGGCCAAAGCAAAACTGTGAGTTAGCTTATTCATATGCAATAAGAAAGTTGTTTCCAGGTATTAGACTTCCAGATGTGTTTTGGCTTGACAGAGTTTTCTGATTACATTTGCATCAAACCATTGTTTCCTGATTTATTCTAACAGAATTTGTATCCTTCCTGCAAAATCTGTGGATGTGTGTATGCATATGCAGATATGTGCGGCACAAATTGGTATCAACCTCTTGTTATCCTCTTTACATCTGTAATGCTCCATATCTATTGTTATGATATGAACTGCATAGATCAATATGCAAAAGGCCTGTTCTTTTGCTTCCTGGCCACCATCTGCAGCTACGAACAAAGTCAGCTATCCTATAGATTTACTCTTTTTTTTTTTAATTTATTTATTTTTTGTTCAAATACATTTGTCTCCACCTTCCCACTAGATTTACTCTAGATAGACTAGGACTCTAGACTAGAACATAACAAAGGATTTACAGTTATTCAGGGCCAATATTGGAAAAGCAGTATAAGAAAAATCCAAAAAGGGTTTTAGAAACACCCAGTATTTGCCTAATACTGTGTTGGGTGTTCTAAATAAGAAGATGAATACAGCACAATATTAACCTCAAACAATTTATAATCTGGTAAGGAAATGTCATATATTTGCCCTGATGATGTGTCAGTAGAGTTGGTTTCATATATGAACAGTAGAAAGTCATTAATTTAATAGTTAGAGATGTTCCTGGGTTAGGATAAAGCAAGATTTTCATCCTCCCCTAAATTTACTGACAGTGACAGGAAAAGGAGTAGTAGATGTAAAATAACTACCTAACTTTTACAGCTGCTCCTAAAAAGAGTTATGTATATAATCAGCCCATAAATTACATTATTTTTCCCTGCCTTGTCAGTCATGAAGAAAGTTATGTATATCTTAACTTATTCTGTAGATACTTTTAAAATTGATTTGTGACTATTCTCTCCTTAAGAATATTTTAAAACCATATTTAATTTTTAAAATTATAAAAAACATATTTATTATGTAATATTTGGGCTACAAAGAAAGCAGAAGAAAATAAAAATGATTAATAATTCTGATACTCAAAGAAAATCAATATTGATATATTCTTATTCATTTGGTCATTCATTTATATTTTCAATGAATATTACTTATTTACTGGCTTTCTGGATTTCTTCCTTGCATAAATATATATTTAAAAGGTAGGCAGATGATGGCTCTTTCTCACGATGGTCTGTGGATGCTGCTGTGGGCGCTGCTGATAATGCCAATGGCTTGGCTGATGACAGAAGAAAATAAAAAAGAAAAAGAAAAAGGAAAAAAAAGAAAAATTAAAAAAAATAAAAAAATAAAAGATACTTGTCACAAAACTTGGGTCATATTGTATTCTTTGTTATATACGTTTTTATTTTCACATGTCAATATGTGATGAGTAATTTTTATGAGAATTACACATTCTTTGCTTCATTTAATTAAACATGCAGGGTCTTATGTTAGCACACCCCTTCACAATGTATTGTCCAGATCACATGCCCACAGGGAATGGCTATGCCTGTAGGAATCATTTCCAATGTCTAAATCTACAATGACCAAAGCTGAAAATTCCTTCATGAAATTAAGTAGAAGCTCCTTGAGAACAAAGATTGCGTACCATATCTTTTGTTTCCTATGATATAATATTACAAAATTAATTATATAAAAATTAATAACTGTTAAAGACAACTAATTTGTCATTCAATTAATCATCCTACTACTTTATAGTACTCATATTATCTTGTATCTATCATGTGTTGTTGTCACAAATAATATTTCTTTACTATAATCAACACTTAACCTTCTTAGTTTTTTGTTTATTTGTTTATTTGTTTTGGCTATCCCCAGAGAAGACAGACTACTCTGCATTCCATCTGCTTTCATTACTGAAAAAGTAAGATACCTACAGCTTGAACTAATATATGTCAACTGTAATTGAAAAATACTTTTTAATATTTTAATTAAGTGTATTGGGGTGATGATAGTAAATAATATTATATATGTTTCAAGTGTATAATTCTATGATACATCATCTGTATATTGTACTGTATGCCAATCATCTAAAGTCAAATCTTAAAGTAAGGTAGCTTTTTTTTCTAAAATTTATTTTCCCACTGTGTTGCAAACTTCTGTTTACCTATCTGCAATATCTAGCTCTGAAGAGCTTATAAACCATGAGGGCAGGGACCATGTCCGTAGAGATTATCATTGAATCACCAGCGACTGGCACATAATAAGTATGTAACAGTTAACAGAGGAAGGAATAAATTGTCCAGGTGGGAAGCTGAAATGTTCTGGACCATGGCAGCAACTGAGCTAGAAAGCTAATGTGGAAAGTGACAGAGGTTTACAAAACTGCTAAATGTATGATCATGATCTTGTCCACAGATGTCTATCAACTACTGAAACATTTCTCCCACCAACTTTCTTCCTTTCCATCACCTGCAGTAGTCTAGCCCAACTGCATTTGGGAAAGTAGTTCTTCCCATAAGAGGAGGCTTATCCTTGAGATAATTTTCAAAGACTTTATTGGGCTTTTTTGTCTATATTCCTCACTCATAAGTAAACTTCATTCCTGACCTGTTGTCTGCTTTGAAGGAAAAGAGGGACATTTACACTGAGTGTTGATGTTCTGAACATTGGTTTTTGTCTATGTCCTCATTTTATACAGCCGTGAGCTCTCTCACTCTGGGCTATCATCTGATGCAACTTGGAAAATAGGAGTGATGTGAGAGAGTATGAGCTGTGTGTCAAGTCCTACTTGTGAATCTTGACTCTACCATTATTTAGGGTATAATACATTTATTGAATTTTCTGACCCTATCTGATTCCGTCATCTGTCTGAAGGTAATAAGGATTTTCCATAGGTTATTGTAAAAACAAAAATAGATAATGCATGTCTGATACTGAGCAGAGGCAAGAAATATTAACCTACTTTCTATGCCATAATGATCATCAATATCAAAGATAGAAAGATGATAGATAGATGATAGATAGATGGATAGATAGGTAGATAGATTACAGCTGTTACTCAGCCCACACTTTCACCTCAAAATAACTTTATAGAATTCATTCACTATGTTCATGTGATGTTACAAAAATCACCTGAAAATATGAGCAAACTAAACACTAAAGTCTGATAGACTAAAGAAAGAAATTCGGTATATTTTCATGAGTGATTATACACATCCCATATTTACCTTCTAAATAAAAATCAACAATGTTTAAGCATGTTGCAGTTAATACTGTAACTTTGTATTAGTGCCTTTATTCTGTTTTGTAATGGTAAAGTGAGGTGGGACTCTTCAGGTCCCTGTTCAGGGGCCAGCTGAAGAGGGAGCATGGGCTCTGATCCCGCAGAGCCCATCCCAGGGTCATGATGGATGGGGGAAAATAAAATGAATTGTTCCAGACACTTCTTGGTCTGCCAGGAGAGGGGAATGGCTCTTCCTTCTAGGGGAGAAGGGCCCGAACTCCTGTGCACAAATGGCTTTTATTGAAAGTGTTATCAATGGGACTAGGTGGTAGGAATGTATAGGTGATCTCATTACATCAGTATGTTAATGTTTACAGAGAATAGATGATGTTTTGAAGAAAACAAATGGCAGGAACACACTGATTTACATGGGATTTACATGGCTCCTAGAGGAGATGAGTAAACATGAGAGCGTAAACATAAGAACACCAAAGGTTGTAGGGTCAGGGTCTGTGAATAATGTAAATTTCCTTCCCAGCATGATCTGGCTATAGCTTCTGAGGGAAAAACAAAGCATGCTTCAAGGAATTTACTTCTAGGCCTGATTTCCCCTGGGAAGCACCAGATCCAGTTTAGAGCTATCTCCAGTATTGTTCCAAACCTGAGCCAGGAAGGGGGAAGGCAGAGCATCCAGGAGATAAGGAGACTTCTTTCAGATAGAATGAGACCCTGGCTATTAGAGCCGAGGGTTGAGGGTCTTTCTGCTGTTTCTCCATGACCCCCACGTCTTTCCCTGATGCCCATTACAGTTGTGCTGTGTTAGGTTTCCCCTTAATCAAGGGGTCTTATCTGTCATTAACTAACCAGTCATCCTCCAGGGCCAAGCAGGGTGATATGAGGGACAGATATTGTCTCCTCAGTAGCCTACTTTACCAAGACCGTCTTGCTCAGCTCCAGCCTTGGGACCCTCTCACCTGTCGGTGAGGCTGTGGTTCCAGAAACCAGATGGGACGTTTTCCAACAGGAGAGAAAAGGCCACAAATAATATGCTATCTGAAAATGACCAATTACAGCTTTATTGTTTGTCAGTTTTACACTACTAATACATAAGATTTTTAACCATCTTAATTATGTTTAAATGTAGTTTAGTAGTGTTAAATATATTCAAATCAATACTAAGAATCGGATTTGCTCATGGTCTCAGAGTATGGTATATATAAAACTGATTTTGGTTATATTTGTGTTTTGTCTAAGAATATGAAAACTATGACAGTGAATTTGTTTCTGATAAATTTTAATTTTACTTTAAAAACTTTAATAATGAAAAATTTAATAATGAAAATAAAAGCAGATTCATGGATTTGTCATTAAAATTTTAACTCCCTTGTTAAACTTATCTGGAATTTGAAAAATATTCTTTTTGAAGGAGAAAAAAAATGGTCACTTAACAAAAATATAGTTAAAGAATTTTTGAAAGTATAGCCACAAAAATCTCTTGTGTATTCTGTAAGATTTCTAAACATTGTCTAATTGGCTGTTTAAAATAAAACTAACATAAGGATATAGCTTTTATAAGTGAAGAAACACTCCAACTTTTAATTTCCTGAAACAGTAAGCCTTATTTAGGTGATATATCTAATTAGTGAACAGCACCATATGTAGATATAGATATGGATAGCCATAGATATTAATACATGCTTGTCATTTATACTTATATTAAATAATTGCAGCAATCTGGGAGAGAAGCAATAAATCATTCTGCCAGAAAAACACCTTTTCTTCCTGATACATGTAGATTCATGTTAACCTACCTGTGCTTAAGTCAAACTTTTGATTCCAGACCTCATTCTTGCTGTTATTTAGAAATCTTTCCCAGAAGCTTCAAGATGTCAGAGGAGTGAATGGAAGTCAAACTGACCTCCTCCCAAGAAGAATCTGAAATAACAAATAAATTGTGGAAAAATCACCTGAAACAAACAACTGAACAATAGCAAGAGAGGAGCCTTATAACTTCGGACAAACAAAGGAATCAGCTTTAGCACAACCTAAATGATGAAGAGTATGGTAGAGACTTAAGAAGACTCCCATAGGCAGCAGCACCAGAGGGATACTGAAACAGCCAGTTGGATCCCCCTGAAAAGAGTGGGGTCTGAACCACAGAGAGGTATATCCAGCATACAGCACCAGAGCTCAAAAAGTACATAGATAAGAGCCAGCAGCAAAAAACAGCAGGGTTGCTCTCTGCCAGAGACAGGAGTCTGAAGATGCAAAGAGCTATTTAAAGGGCCAACGCATAAATTTTTCTTTGCAGACAATAACCTGGGCTTGGGCAAAGGTGGGGACATAGTGGGTTATAGATGTCTAAGGAGAGCCTGGGGAAGGAGGCTTTGGGGAGAGAACTGAGGGAGTACCCAGTGAGATCACTGTGTTGACTCATTCCCTGTACAAAAGCAGCCATCTTGCTAAGGCAGACCATTCCCTTGAGCAGCAGCACTATGAAAGGACACAATAACCCCACCCACAGGAGGGACTCAGCCTGACTGCAGAGGGCAGAGTGCAGAGTGATTATATTAACAGATGAAGGAGACAGCCAGAGACATAAATTCCTGGAAGTCTCAAAAACACTGCCTAAGGTCAGAAGGGGTCAACAGCTGACATTATCAGAGGCAGACCCAGAAGGAGAAAAAACAGTGATCTCCTACCATAGAAGTTTATGCAAAAGCCAGGAAATAAACAGATCAATTTAAGGAGCAGAAGCAATAACAAAGAGTCTCATATATAATGGGAAGACAAGGAAATACTGCCCCAATCGAAGGAAAAGAGGAGTCCCCGGAACGAGAGCTAAAGGAAATAGAGGCAAGTAAATTATCAGATATTGAGTTCAAAACAACATGTCTAAGGAAGCTCAGTGAGCTCAGTGAGCTAAAAGAGAATTACCAAAAACTGCAGAGAAACTACAAGGAACTTACTACAAACTATATCAGCATGAAAAAGGACATAGATATCATGAATAAGAGGCAAGAAGAAATGAATACAATTTCTGAATTGAAGAACACGGTAGAA